TTTATTCGTGTTTTTCTCGTTGCCATGTTCCCACCAATAACGTAGCTCCATTTCCTGCCTTTAAAAGCACACACAACCCACAATTCCTCTATTCGCTCCGACGAAGGGCGAACGCTTGAAACGTCAGCTTTTATAATCGTAATGGTGGCCAATTTACCATTTCAACTTGGTTGATATATTCAAATTATTTCGTTACCCCCACCGACGCAGCCCCAAACAGTCTCTTTAGACAGTATCAGCCTTTGCACATTTGGCAAACGACAATCACTCTGTTGTACCTTGTTAGATCTAAGTCTTGTTAGACTTCATGACCCCTTCTCCTAGTTCAAAGAAAGACCTCTGATCTAAATTTCTAATATATAGCAGTTCGATTGAAAGTTGTTAAACCTCCAACCATGGTAATTACACCGGCAACGAAAAATGGGAACAAGACAATTCTCACAGGGATGCAATAAGAACTCAAAAAAAAAATCAAGCAAGTTGACAGAAAAGCAAGGAAAGGTGGTTATAACATAACCTAAGTTAAGCGTGCGCCTTGAATGGTCAATTCAGTGTCCAACATTTGACCATGGGTATAGGCTGCTGAAATGAGCAAATGCAAATACTAGTTTCCGCGCGCGACTCTTACGCGACTCTTACGCTTCTTTCGTGCTTAGCAACCTCCCGCGTACGCCATTACTAAATAGTGTACGCTGTGGTGTTTACCATTTTTTTATTTACCCAGTCGTAATTGGTTTGGGTTTTGCATCTTACTGTTTGACAGGAAGGTGTGGGTACCTGTCAAACTCAGTAAAGATTTCTCTAGGTACTTAACAACAAATCATTGTTTTTTTGTTCTCCTTAAGTAGTATTTTAGTATGAGAGATGAGTTTCCCGGCCGGTAAAACATTAAACTTCTGTAAAATAAAACATGAATTATGACAATGCCTTGGAGACTTCTTCTAGACTGGTTTTAATTGCCACGGTAGTCTTGCCAAGCTGAAAACTATTTAACCACCAAAGAACAATTAAAGATCCCTTATCTACATCTAATAAGAGCCACAAGCTAGGAAGTGATTATCAAACTAAGTACCATTAAATAAAAGGGGTAAGTTTCTAAAGAAACTGTGGTGCTGCGTCGGTGGGAGTAACAAGAGAATTCTAGTTTTATTGACTGAGTTGATTAAGTAAATTGGCTAACGTAGAGTTTCAAAGTTTCGAGCGTTGAACCTCTTAACGGTAGCCAATTTACTTTATCAACTCAGTTGATAAAGCCAAAATATCTAAGTACCATTAACTTGACTCGTTCATTACTTTCAGCTGTAGCGACTGCCTCTATGCCGGTCATGCCTGTGCAACCAACCTTTCTGAATCTCCAAGATGGAAATTATAATGTCTCCTGGATGTACAACAGTAGCATGGACACGATACACTTTACAGTAGAAGTGAGAGCTACAGGATGGATCGCGTTTGGTGTTGTAACAGCAGCTCCGACTGGCATGATGGGATACGATGTGGCCATTGGAAAAGTTGAGGGTGGAATAGGAAGCTTGGAGGTTTGTTGGCAATAGAAAATGAAGAGCTACTGAGTGAATTACACGAGTTGTCAGACAATGGCTCTCGTTTATTTTCATAATGAAAATTGAAAACTCTCATGGAAAGGGAAGAAGGTATACCCTTACATTCCATTGGCTGTGTTGCCTCAGTTTGGTCACTAATCGCTCTCTCTCTCTAACAGCAATGATAACATAAAAAAAGAAGGGGTAGACCATCGAGAATTGACTTAACGAGACAAACTTACCCTATCCCTTCACCAAAGCGGCTAAATCAGTGGTCAATTTTCCCCTGAGGTAGTACGGTAACAATTTATCTGTCGAGTGCAAATATAAGCTACCCATTCCCCCAATGTAGCTAAATTGTAATGCCGAAGATTTGTTCCGATTAGTCACGAACTTCCATGCGTCGCCTCGGCCAAAGTCCATCAGCGCTACAAAAAACAAAAGGACTGTTGTTTAATACTTAATGTGAGAAGTTGAGCCGGAACAATAGACCATTTCTTGATACAATTCATCAAACTTCTGCCTTTTTTCTAGGATCGTCAAACACTCGGTTTCCAAGCACCTGACAGGGATGCTCGTCAAGACTGGATGTTGACCTACTCTAGTGAAGTTAATGGTATGACAAAGTTGAAGTTTTATCGCAAGCTCAACACCAACGACGAAAAGGATGTTGTTATCCAGGTAATTAATGGTAGTATAATGCACCCCGTGTAAAAGTTGGCTTTATCTTTACCTTTACGATGCAAAATATTTCTTAGTAACCCTGACTCTAACAATTCTCGTTTGTTTTGCTATGGGTCAATAATTTTTGCTTTTTCTTTGTAAATGTTTCGTTATCAACAGCAAGGAATGCCAATTTACATTGTGTGGGCATATTCTCCAACCAACGATGCACTTGCACAGCACGCTGGTAATAATAGAGGTTCCAAACAAGTGACACTTGTACCAGCTGGTGTGACTCCGACGACCCCAACCCCGACAGCAGGTAAAAGATTAAACCGCATTGCTC